TATATTATTAATAATTTACACTAAATATAGGATATTTTGTCCCTTTCGCAAAAATGTGAGATTTTAGCAAAGTAGTTTTTATGTTAAGTGAGGATGTATATATTATAGAATAAGAATATTATTAGTTTTACATTAAGTAAGGATACTTTATTTAACCTAGAATAAGAATATAATTAGTTTTATAATTAATATATGCATATCGTAGAGTAAAAATACAATTCTAATTTTTTGTATAACAATGGCTAGCTTTACGTTAAGTAAGGATATATTGTTTAGTATATATTACATATATCCTAGAACAATCCTAGTATAAAAATATTATTAGTTTTATGTTAAGTAAGAATACTTTATTTAATATATGTATATTAGAGTAAAATACAATTCTAAATATGATTCTAATCTTTCGTGTAATGATAATTTGTTTTACTTATTCAGGACTATTGTAAAGGTACGTACGTGCGTACGTAAAAGCATGATCTAAAAAATCTCAAGTGTAACAATGATGAGTTTCAATAGTTTCAAGAAAGTTTTTCGCACATGAAATAAAAAAAAAAGGTAAAAGAAAAAAATATACCCAATACAAATGTTCAATCCTTCAAAATTTGATATTATTTTAAATATAAAATGCTTTCTTTTGAACGTCATTTTTTTTAAAGATCCTTATTTTTTTACGATCAAGATCATATTCTTACTACGTGTTCAGATTTACTTTAAACATTATATATAATATTACTGCTACTACCAGAGTAGTTAAATACGTGTTAAACATTCTAAATGTCTCAATCAAATAAACCATTAAGATTGCGTGCTAATGCAACTTTAGCATGTAAAAATTGTCGGGCGAGTCACCGAAGATGCGAAAAACCTCCTAAAGAGGATATATGTACATACTGTAAAAATCATAGGCTTCATTGTACTTATACCTTGGGTAGAAAACGCGGGCCAAAGCCTAGATTTCCTAATTTTCAATCTCCTCTCAATATTAAATTTCGTGAAACCAATACTGAAGAATTCCAATTCTCCTCATTAAATTTTGGAACTTTACATCTTTATAATGATGTTATTACAACTTCTTTTAGAACTAACGAAGTATTTATTGACCAAGAACCAACAGCAAATAATCAAGATACCATACCAATCAGTCCTTATAAAACTGCTATTGAACCTTCTTTTGGAACTACTGGGGCATTTATTAGCCAAGGATTAATGTCAAATCATAATCCAAATACCACGCTAATTAGCTCTTATGAGATTGCTACAAAAGAATTCAAATTCTCATCGTTGAATCATCCTTATGACGATGCTATTATAACTCCTTTTAGAACTACTGAGGCATTTATTAACCAAGAGCCAGTACCAAATAATCAAAATATTACACCAATTAACCTTTACGAAACTACTAATAAAGAGTTTCAATCCTCTTATTTAAACTTTGGAACCACACATACCTACACTATTCCTTCTTTCGGGACTAATGAGGCGTTCATTGAACAAGGACTAATGTTAAATAATCAAAATACCACGCCAATTAACTCTTACGAGATTGCTACTGAAGAATTCCAGAATTCCAATTCTCTTTATTAAATTTGGAAACTTCACATCCTTATGATAATGTTATTATAACTCCTTCCGAAACATTTATTGACCAAGAACAAGAACAAAATAATCAAATATTACACCAATTAATCCTATGAAACTACTACTGAAGAATCTCAATCCTCCTATTTAAACTTTGTATATATACTTACATTATTCCTTCTTT